CACTCGCCATAAAGCACCGTTTAAGGCCGGCGCTTTGCAGTCGCAGGGGCACACTTTAAAGCAGGACGCTGCCGGAGTAATCTGCATCCTGTTGCGCGAAAAAAACGTGTCAAGCGGAAGGTGTCCAGGCGGACAGCTGCGACAGCGAGCTGCGAGGGCACGGAAAGCAATTTCTTTCACGCATTTTCCGTCGAGCTGGTTGACAATGTAACAAGTTTATGAGTGGCGCAAYGTACCTAAGTGCCTGGACARCGCTGTGCTACATCCTTGCTGTGGCATTTATCCTGCACTTGCCATGCAGACACTGAATGCGCCCGGAGCTATGGCTACAATATGCTCCATTTAAAGGCAGCCATATATTCCCTATGACAGGGTTTTATTGATTTGTGAGCTGAAAAGCTCAAGCTACCATAAACAAGACCTTACATGTTGGACTAGAGCACAATGAGACCGATCAGTGGATACCCTACTGCTGCCTCAATCTGATATTGCAGGCATTTTAGAAATTTTTCTAAGGTATGATCATTGGAATATTAAAAAACGTCAAAACAAAAATTTGTATAACATTTTTTTTTGCAAGACGTATTCTGGACAGTCTAAAAATCTATAGATATATTATATGGTTATACCATAACAATTTGGGAATTTCGAGTTGTATCCTATAAAAATGATATATCTCAATTGATCCCAATCGAATATGAAGCCAATTTAGAAAATATAGAATATGGGGAGCATTATGTAAGTGTAAAAAGATATACGTATGTATATACATAAATGTTCTACGGGTATGAACTATATGCTATATAGTCTGTCCAGTGGATTAACTCTATGCTCAATTATTCTTTACAATATTAAATTCAGAGCGTCAGCATATCATTTATGTACCTATTTAAAAAAACCCTCATCTGAATAAAATAAACACAGCTGAATTTGCTTAAAGCGATAAATGTACTTTGCCGCACAAATCAGAAATAGTTTATAAATAAATTCTTATCAGCTGATGTCGTAAAAGCTGAAGCACAAACTTCAAATTAATGATTCACAGTTTATATTTCTCATTTTAAAGATTTATATGTAAATTATTTTACATAAAGCCTGAAATTGTTAATAGTTTCATTTTTCGTCAGAATATATTTCCTATAAGTTTCAGTTGAACAAAAACGCGAATTGGTGATCCGACAATCCGTAGGAAATCGATATGACTAATGACCAGAATGCCGCTTGAATTTCATGCTTCCCAAAGCATCGACCTTACGGGTTATTAAGAGAGAAAAAGAGAGAGACGTAATGGAATATGTCGATTCGAATCATAAGCAGACTCTCTTGAAAAACTAAATATATACCTTAATAAAACACTTTGCAATCAATTTAATAGAATTTTATTATACCACATTGAACTTAAAAATATAAATCAATAAAGATGGAGACATGTACTATTATTTATTATTATGATTATTTTATATAAATGAATCTAAATCAATTTCATAGATCTATCCAATAATAACAGATAATACTGGTCAGCAAAGTTGATTGAAATTAAGTGAACAAGAATTTGATTATTTTCAGTACATGAATATTTAAATATATATTTATCAATTAATATTATGTTAATTATATCTTTGCAATACGATTGAAAATGCTGACGGCATCCCAGATATTTCTAAGGTAGTTGATTAACACAATATGTTTAAAAACATGAATTGCAACTATATTTAGTTTTTCTTAAGCAAAAATAAACACTATTTAGTTTTTGCTGTTGCTAAATGTTAATAATGTATTAAAGTATTACAGTAGAATAATAAAATGTCTATTTGCATTAGTTGGCTCGTGTAAACGAGGCTTTTCCACCATTCAGATGAAAATTAAATAAAGCAATGTCGAAAGTTGGATCTTCTTCTTCTTTGTGAAAGAGTTCGTTATGTGTCCTATCAGTTCAATGGTACCTTTCAGCTATGCTAATATTTCTGAAAGGAGCTTTTGGATCATTAGGGTAGAGCTTTGCCAATGGGATTAGTCATGAAGCCTTTGGTCAAGATAGAACCAGGTTATTAAGTTCTGTTGCTACGCTCTTATTACTTAAGCCGATTTTAACAGATATAAGACAGATTATTAGTCATATATAAAATTAGTTTAAATCCACTCTCTCGACTGTAAACAGACACACATATTTATGTGCCCTCCTGCAACTCTTCAGAATGGGAATGTGCTAGTCGTGGAATTTTCAGGACTTGTATAAAGCCCAAGCCCATATACTATGCTCACCTTTTGAAAGGGCAGAAACGTGTATTGAAATTTATGACGCTCCTTGCTTGAATATGGTCGAAATACCCTTTCGTTTTGCCGACACACACACACACACACACACACACTGAGGCACACGTACACACGTGCATTTTGCAAACACGCACAGCAATCCTCATATAATTCGTTTGAGGAAGAATCAAGGAGGGTCTTAAACAAATTGACTGTAAATATGCTTGTTGCTATTTTGTGGCGCTGCAGAGAAGTTGTAAAATTTTGCGAGCTGCGTCAAAATGTACGTTTACGATTTATTATTATTGTTGTTCTTGCTGCTGCTGCTGCTGTTGTTTGTTGTTTGTGGACTGTTGACTGTTGCTGGGTTGGCAGTGGCTGTGTTGTGTCCTGTTGAATTGTTTGTTTGTGCAAAACATTTTGCCATCGTGCGGCTGAAAATAATTAAGTTTTTGATTCATGTCGACGATGCCAGTCGCAGACAAAGGTGCGCTAACTACACTTGCCACGCCACAGCCAAGGACGTGGCCAACATGCACAAAGGAGCCATAGCAGCCAGGACTGGCTGCAGCCTGCGACGTGCATTGCTCCTGTTTCCCTTGTTTTCGTTGTTTCCATTTAGTCTTTGTGTTGTTGTTGCTGTTGCTCTGCTGGTGCTGTTGCTCTGCTGGTGCTGGTGCGCTTTCACATTAACACCGGGATTTATGTAGCCATAGAGCGTAAAAAGCGACTCGGGCCTCAGAGTCTCAGCCAGCGTCGTCATTAAAGCGAGCGGACCGTGCGGCTCGAGTTGCTGCCTGCAGTTGCATTTAACAGTGGAGAGTGTAAAGTGGAGAGTAGAGAGTGGAGAGTCGTGAGACTCCTTGGAACAGCTCGTGTTAAAAACTTGTCATGGCCTTTGTAGATGGCCAACACAAAGCACATATCAATTAATTTCGCAGTCAACTGCAGTAGCAGCAGCAGTATTGTTGTTGCTGTTGTTATATTAGTTGGGTAATTAGGTGCTTATTAAAAAAAATGCAGTTAAAGCTTGAGACATGATCAAATTTTCAACAGGTAATTAGCACTGATAGCTGCTCAGTTAAAGACCTGTCTTAAGCTAAAGTTGAAATAATTACGGTCGAGGTTCCAGTTGCTCCTTCAAAACGCACTGTTAAATCTTGATCTCCAGTTATCTTATACAAAACTCATTGACTGCTGAAACAAAATGTTAATAATAAGAAATGCAGCAAATATAAGCACGTTTGCTTAACAAATGAAAACATTTGAATGTGTATTATACTGTTTATACATTATAGAAAATTAAAGGTTACAGTTTTGCAGTCACTGCAGTCACTGCCCCTACTATATCAAAATAAATCTATATTGAAATTACAGAATGTTACTATTTTCACAAAGAGGTTCCAAATTAATTTCTCGTCTATGTCCACTCTATTTATGGCAAATATTCATAATGGAAACTTAGATCTGTAGCCGATTATGTGACAAGTAATGTATTTTCATTATATGTACATATATATAAAGGCTATATGTAAGTAACTTTCTGCTTCTATGATCAGCAGGCTTCTCCATCCCCCCATGTCCACCCACTCATGCTAAGCTGTAACCCTTTGAATATTACATGTATGCTTGCATACAAATGATAATATTCCATTCTGTATTTATTAGCATTAATACATTTACTTATGTAATTGAATATATATAAATCGGCACTAATTAATATTGATGAGCAACAACTGAATCGAAAATGAACCAATTTGATTTGCAACAAAATATAAATTACGTAAAATTCGTTATAAAGCTTCAGGTGGTTCGTTTTTGTTATTTTGATTTATTGCCAAATGTCGCATTTAATTAGCTTTAATTATTGGCCATTTGTTATGCAACACTCACACATACAAACGTCACTCATTAATTATTTAATGCATTTTCCGTTTTCGCAAAAATATTCCTTTGAAAATTAAATTGAATTTATATTGAATTTAAATTTGTTTTTCCTTGCAAAAACGAAAAATGTCTCGTTCTGTGACCTGTAAATAAAAGGTTTTTATATTTTTCTTTTTTTTTTTCTTAAGCTAACCGAGTTGTAAAGCGAATTAATTTATCGCATCCAGTGATGCGTGAGGCCATTTCTATTTTCAATTTTAGTCTACGCCCGATATGGCAACTATTTTAGTTGTTGCTATTAAAATGACGAGCTAATTAGTTATCCAACGGACTGCATTTCGGCAAATGGATGTGGTTCGCTCTGATGTGAACGAAAAAATTGGCAAATGCAATAATAACTAGCAAAAATGATTTGAAATTTTTAATGAGAACTCACGCATGACTGGATAAGTTTGGCTTTCAATATATGCATACGCAACAAATGTATATATATATATATATTTGAGTATTTATTCTGCTCTATGCAAATCGAGTTTTGGCTGCAACAGTAACAAAATTTATCGCATATTAATTTTAGTATTTCTCTGCAAGTTAAAGCCCGATCAATTCAAGTTCAATCTATGTGTCTTAATTGCTGTTAATATTTTGATAAGGCAGCAAGTAAAGGAGAAGAAGTGGAAGAGGTCATTCTATATAATTTTGCTGTCCCAGATGTTACTATGAAATAATCCGATTTGTGCTTACCGAAAAGTCGTTTCTGTTTCATCTATAAAAGAGGAAAAGGACTTACAGATTCGCCAATAGGCCAGTGGGCGTATTTCAAGGTTCTTAGCAGAGTTACAGAGAGAGAGAGACAGAGATATTTTATTTGTATTTAATTATTAAAGATTTTCATCCCAACAACCAACCTTGCCCATCTGGCCAACCTGGTCAGATTTCATATTAAA